GTTTTATTCAGTTAATGTGAAAGATTAAAAAAAAATAAAAGCTCATTTGAGCAGATTTAAAAAATATTTTATAAAAATCTGGGAAAATGTTTTTTATCTTTAAACAAGTGGTTTAAATTCGACTAAGAACCCATCAGAACCAGACGAGCGTGGTCTGGATCATGGGTTCTTCAGACCGTCTGCAGGGTTTTTGGACCTGAATTTAAAAACCTTGGAGACCAAATACAACTGGAAATGTTGACAGTTTTTTACTGTAGCTAACACACTAACATGACATCACAATTATTTTAACAGACAAGCAAAGAGCAGAACCTCCTCTCAAGTCTCCAAAAGTCCAAACACATTTTCTGCTTTACACACATTTTCTGCTTTACACACATTTTCTGCTTTACACACATTTTGCCATTTCAAACTGCACTTTTTAAATGAGCTGAACACAGTTCTCATGCAGAAGACACAACAATCTGACATAAAGTCACAAGTTTGACATTTCAACACATTCAGAATGACAAAACRTGAGCTAAGTGGACAACAAATGTTGTACCTGAACAAACATTGTCAACACTGCACTCAGGATCTGTTACATGATACATACATGATTTTATCGAGTCTTTCCAGAGACAAGTCCCTACTTGGGAGCGGCTACGTATGCTGTGTTTTTGGGAAATTGTAGTCGGCGAGTTTCCTATTTTATACTACTTCTGTGATATTACTACTACTTCTACTTCCTGTTATCTTCTTCTTCATTGTCTTTTTCACCAGTAGAAACAGACGGTTGTTGATCACGTGACTCCTGTGATGTGAAAAAATGTTTCCATTGCAGTTTTGCGAAAAACACCAATCATCCTAGCGCAAAAACATTTAGTCAAAAAATGTAATTTTTTTTCGAAATTGACGTGTTTCCATTGAGCGAATTTATTTTCGAAATTCTAATTTGCGCATTTTCATGGTCAACGGAAACGCAGCTAGTGATTGTTAGCTTAGTGTTATGTTCATTTACACTCTGTGTGTTATGTTCATTTACACTCTGTGTGTTATGTTCATTTACACTCTGTGTGTTATGTTCATTTACACTCTGTGTGTTATGTTCATTTACACTCTGTGTGTTATGTTCATTTACACTCTGTGTGTTATGTTCATTT